TATTTTCAAAATATGTATAAACAAATTAAAATTTGTTTCTTTCATAAATTTGAGCAATTAGTAGTAGTAAACAGCAACTTCAAAACAATGTAAAGATCTTTGAAAAATGTTCTCTTACCAATAGGCTCAACAACATACTTTAATTTGAAAAATATTTCATAATTTTAATTCTTGGTAATTGTCATTTCTTTCTTTCTTTTCCTCTTTTTTTTTTTTTGACAAATACGGAAATTTTGACAAATAGTAGCGATACAATTGTTGGTCGGACATAACATAAAAGTGAGAAATATCTCATTAGTATCTTCAGTTTTTCTGTATTTCTTGCAGGAAAAATGTTTTAAAAAAAAGTCTAAGGAAAATGGAAAATACCAGGGGATTTTGACTTGCAGAATTTATTCTTAGCCAAATTCGTTGTACAGATAACTCAATGATATACACATTCCAATTTGAAAAGTATTTCATTAATTTTAATTTTTGGGAATTGTAATTTTTTTTAATTTTTGGACAAATACCGTAATTTTGAAGAAAAGTAGCGATATAATTATTGCGGGGCCATGATATGGGAGTGTCAACTATCTCATTTGTACCCTCAGTGATTCTGTATTTCATGCAGGAAAAAAGTTTTGAAAAAATAGCCCAAGGCAAATGGAAAATACCCCAAGAGATGTTGAAAACAGTTTGACAGAGCAATTCGTTTTACAAATACGTTACTGATATATTTAAGAACCTCAAAAGATTAGTACATACTCTAATTTGAAAAATATTTCATAATTTTCATTTTTGTGAATTGTCAGTTTTTTTTGGACAAAAATTGTAATGTTGAAAAATAGTCGAGATATAGCTGTTGCGGGGACATGACGTAGAAGTGACAGATATTTCATTTGTACCCTTAGTTTTCTGCATTTCTTGCCAGAAAAAAGATTTGAAAAAATAGCCCAAGGCACGTGCAAAAAAGTCCCAGGGATCTTGAAAACGACTTGGCTTTAGCCATTTTAGCCAATATAAGGACCCTAGTGAATCTACTAATAACGTTAGACATTTTAAGCCCTCTAGTACCCTATATATTGAGATGCAACTGGGATTCCAAAAGTAGGCTATTGTTACCTACTTTTTAGTTGATTAAGTCCAATGAAGTGCTTTTTTGCTTAACATGCTCTAAGAATTCAAGATGCATCAACTGACAACGTTTGATGATCTAAGCCTAATTGAAATATATAGATTTACACTTCAAATTGCTAAAGAAGATTACTGGGACCCATTTTTTAGCTGACAAACTCTGAGGAGCCAAGATGCATCAACTGAAAGTTAAATGATTCTAAACAAATAAGTTGACCTCGACGCAAAATATAATAACGCAAAATGTTATACATGTAATTCAAAAAGTGTGTTATTACATTTTGCGTTAATACATTATGCATTGATAAAGACGCAAAATGTAATTGCACAAAATGTAATAATCTGATTGTTGCATTTTGTTTCATTATTACATTTTGCATTGCAACAATTCATCAACTAACAAGATTTGATAATCCTAGTCATTACAGTTGGCAAAATATCCAAGTTTTAACAAAACTTTGAAGTGATCTCGATACCAGCCCTTTGCCCCAGTGTAATGCCTTGAACAATTTTTAATCTACAATATTTCTTCAGCCTTATGTGGGTAGATTTATATATGTGAAATTTCGCATTTTGAATAAATGTTTCTATTTCAAATAAATTAACGATGTCAATGAGAATAAAAGTTAAGCTAGTTTGTATGCGCAGGTGGATTGTTGATGAACACTTGCTTTACTACTGGCTACGACTTCTCATTGGCTTTTGTCATAATGAACTATCAAATAAAATCATTTCTTTTGTAATAAAAGCGAGCCAAGTCTCAAATTTAAATTAATGCGGATCCGACGATTTCTGACTGTAGACTTTACCACCTCGCACAAGGTACTTTATTATGTGTTAATAACTTTACAATTTTTCTTAGTAAATAAATAACTAAGATTATAATAAAGTTGGAATATATATTTACTTGTCATACGTAATGCACTACTATGTATAAATTGTATATATTTATATGTACTTATATTTCTTTGTAGAATCACCTTTTAGATGTCAATAAACTATAGAAATAATTTCCGTATCTCTATATAACTCGGACGTCATAAATGAGGTCGCCGGTATTTACAGTCAAAGGTGCATATGTTTGGTGATAATCTGCCCAGTGGTTCTTGAGAAAATTTTAACAACCACTAATTTCTGTAATTTTCTCCCCTTGTTTAAAGGTCACATCCCTATTCTTAGTATAAATAAAAGCCCTTGGGCCAAGGATACTCTGTGAAAAATTGAAAAAATAACCAAGGGTTTCTTGAGTTAAGGCCTATATTCCAAGATGTTGACGCACATCCACAATTTTGGCTCAGAAGAGCTAAAAATATGAGTGATACATGTAAATACATTGTATTTCATTTGATTTTTTTTAGTTTTGTTTTACGGTATTTAGTGTACAAAAAATATTTTGACAAAATCACCTAAGTCAACAATAGCCCCAAGGATTTTGAAAACGATGTGAATTAGAAGGAAGTTTACGCCAAATTACACAGATAATACCATAAAGTTATCTTTGTGTGAAGAACATGTATGAATTTCCAATCTTCTTCATCAGAAAGTTATCAAACACACGCATATATTACATTATATCTTCTGGTGACTTTGAACTTAGGTTGAGGTCAGGTCATAAGCAATCTTTGTATCTATATAAGATCTTAAAATGTTTACTCCGTTACAAAGTTATGGCCAGGATGCAACTGCACTGACAGGCAGACAGACCGTCACTCATAACTGTAGTTCTATAAATTTAATAAATATAAAGTCTCTCATTTCTATGGTTCAAAAGTTATTAGGCAGGTTAAAGTTTAGAACAGAAATTGAGAATGACAGATTTTCAGACCTATAGAACAAAAACATCTTCCATCTTGGGTTATAAAAAGAACTCTCTGACGAGACTGTGGCTCTACTGGTTTGTCCTTATAACAAAAGCAGAGAAAAATGTAGCACTTGGGCTTGAAAACCATAAAAAGAATAATGATCCTTGGTTTAGTTTCTTTTTGTGGCAAGATTTAAATTGCAATCAGACTAAAACTGTAGGAGGAGTAGCCTATTGAAATAATCTCACAGAAGTTTCTATTTTAAGTAACGATGACAACACCGTTCATCCAAATCAAAAACTGATATGCAGAATTATTCTACTTATGTGCTAAATTATACTGAAATCAGACCAAAGTATAGAAGGAGAAGCGTTTTGAAAGTATTTCACAGAAATTTCTATTTAAGTAACCATATCAACACTGTTCATCGAAATCAAAAACAGAATTATGAATCTTAGTGTATTTGATTTGTGTGCGAAGTTATACTGAAATCAGACCAAAACTGTAGAAGTGGTGGCATTTTGAAAGTATTTCACAGAAAATTCTATTTTTAGTAACTGGCAACATCTTTTATCCAAATGTAAAAACTGATACACAGAATTATTTATCTTACTGTACATGTATTCTACTTATGAGCCAAATTATAGAAATCAGACCAAAACTTAAGGAGGAGGAGTTTGAAAGTATTTCACAGAAATTCCTATTTTAGTAACCATGGCAACACTGTTAATCGAAATCAAAAACCGATAAAAAATTTATGAATCTTAGTGTATTCTTCTTGTGTCAAGATATACTGAAATCAGACCAAAACTGTAGGAGAAGTGGCATTTTGAAGTATTTCTCAGAAATTTTTACTTTCAAAAACTGATAAACAGAATTATGTACAGCTGTATCTTAGTGAATTTTACTTCTGTCGCCCGCGAGGTCCTGTGTCGCAGTAGAAGCTGGCACGAAAAAGATCCCTCACTGCTCAATGGCCCTTAGTGCCTAGTATAGGTCAAAAATTTGCAGCTCTTCACCGCAAGTGGTGGCGTCTCCATGTGAATGAAAAATTCTCGAGAGGGACATTAAACAACAAACAAACAAAACTTATTTATGTGCCAAATTATATTGAAATCAGGAGGATTAGCGTTTTGAAAAATTGAGTACAAATGGAAAGACAGACAGATGGACTATAAGCTCATCTGGTCTCTGACTAGTGGAACTAAAATATGCCAAAAATGAATAGTCAAAATAAAATGAAGAGAAAAGAAAGAAAGAAATAAACACAAAACTAGAAAAAACAAGATGTGTTTGTGAAACACTATGCCCCCAACGGTAACACAGTTCTGGAGTGGGAGGTAGACTACAGTGCAATAGTTATGGCCAATGTTTAAGTTTTTCAAATGTAGGTCAAAGGTCACAGTTGAAGTCACATGATCAAAAATTTATGTAACAATGGAAAGGTCTTGTCATAATGAACACTCATGTCAAATATTAAAGCCTTACCCTTGACAGCGCAATAGTTATGAGCTAGGTTAATTTAAGTTGACAACCTACAGACAGACAAACAGACAGACAGGACAAAAACAATATACCTCCGGGATCTTTTGATCCGGGGGCATAAAAACTAAAAAATAAAAGAACTAAAGAAGGTATGAAGTGGGTAATATCCTTAAAATTCAAACTTGCCATGAACCTCAACATTACAAAGAGTAATGCCAAATTAGTATTGTGTTTCACAATTAGCATGACAAAACCCATTCATCTGAATTGTAAACAAACAACACAGGTATAATCAATGCAAGGTGTACATAAAAACAAATTATTATTAGCTCTGATATTGTCACTTCAAGGAGGAATAACATGTGTAATCAATGCAAGGTTTAATAAAAACAAATTATTATTAGCTCTGATATTGTCACTTAAGGAGGAATAACATGCAATAAAACTGTGTTTCAAACAATCGTGCTTCACAAATATATAATTAAATATCAATAATGACACATAACTTATGAACCTGTATATAATCACTCTATTCTTTGGAATAACTTCAGATCTAAATGGCATAAAAAACAAACAAAGAATATTAAAAACAATATATTTCAAATTTATGTATTGTAACTTTATTTTCATACAGATGTTTTTCCATGGCATACATTTGTACATACTAAATTAAATACTTGGCAAAAATCCCCATTTCAGAGGTGATTGGTATTCAAATTCTATTGATAGAATACTTTCTAAGCACAGAGAGATTGAAATAATTAATATTATATGCATGTCTGTTTCTAACCAACTGAAGAGTCAGAAAACATCTGAATTTCAATAATAATAATAATAATAATAATAGTAAATGTATTAAAAGCCAAATTTCACAAAAAATTATTCAGAGATAATTTAATTATCTTTATTCAGAAAATTGTGGTCTCCTGCTTTCAGGGTCTTATTGGATATGGTGCAAATCTATCATGATAATATATTGTAAATGTCTTGTCTATCATACTTAAATTTGAAGTCTTTCAGGAAGGTCTTGGTACAGATAATGCACATTTAAAATATAAAACTCCTGTCATTTCAGGTGCAAGAACAGACAAGGTTAATTTTTTTGAAAAGGTCAAAATTCAAGGTCAAGGTCAAAAATGATAAAACATTCAGAAAGGTCTTAATAAAAAGACTTTTGAGAACTGATTTATCAATATTTCAAAAGATTAAGAGCATATGTATGCAAACATTTAAGTCAAACACTACTCATGTAGTTAAACTGTTACCTTCATGACAAATATTTTTTTACACAGAACAACCTTGTCTTAGGAATGACAATTATACACTGCAGTAAAAATAACAGTGTCAAGTATTAAATTAAAACTTACATATTTACTAATACACTATCTAGGATATACATGTACAGTATGAGAGTAATTATACAGTAAATATGACCATCATCTTCTAATCTGCTACTGATTACTATTTGTGTCTCTTCAATCAGTTTTCGCCTGGTTAGTATGAATGTCACAATATCATATCTGGGCCCTTATTGTATTGTCCAAAAGAAAAAAAATAAAAATTAGTTATGCATAGTTTTACTAAAATAATACATTGTACTGTATTGATTCTAAAAACACATATATCTTTCATACTGAAGCATTTCAAATGATGAACTCTGAATTCAACATCAGCTCCAATAAGTAACAATGGTCTTTATTGGACTAAATACAGTACTTAAGTAACTAATGTGATTAAAGGTTATCGGCACCAAAAATGAGTTTGGGACTTCTTATACATGTATGTTCCAAGAATTGCTTATGTATTGCTAGACCTATATGTGAAATCCGCATCTGGTGCATCTAAATTGGTACCGTATATGATTTAAATTATGACACCTGGGTCGAAGCCTCTGCTGGTGGACTGTTAGTCCCCTAGGGTCTCTACAGCCCGAAGCAAGTAAAATTTTATTTTATAATCAAAATTATTTCAAAAGTTAAATCGATTTGAAATTTTGATACAACGAGGCACGCATGACTTTATGCAGCTTTGTAATATCATGCAGTCGTATGTGCAACATTATACCTATCCTAAGTATTGTGATTTTTATAAAAAATTAACATTATCTGTAACATGTATTGGTCTGAAAACATGCTTTAATGACAATAACTAGGAAAAAAAAACTGCTGAATTTGGTGAAACGATGTCACTGTTTTCAGATTTTTGTAAGCAATGCAAGGACGCTAAAGAATGATATTATGACTCGCTTGTGTATTCAAGACGTCCATGAACATTTTACTAAAAACTTGACAGAACATCAAAAGAAACATAAGCAATCTAAACATTGTTATTTTTTACCAAAATAATTCATATGCACTGAGAATTCATCTGCAGGGATAAATATGTATATATTATACCACAATATTGCAATTTTAGAGGTATTGGGCATTGAAAAAATAAAATTTGTAATTATTCCTAGACCTTACTAGACGGTCGACTTTTATGAAATTTCACAATTTGGTGAATTTTTACGATAACTTTCATATACTTGACTTAAAAAAAATCTGTAGGGCAGAAATACAACACAGATGGAAAAAATGTGATAATTTGGCGATTTTCAATGCAAATTCCCATAAGGTCCAATAGTAAAATTTGACAACTTTTGAGATGGCCCCCTCAGAAATCATTCCATTATTCAATCTTAAAACAATAAATATAATAGTGAAAATTTAATTTAAAAAAAATTATCAAGATATCTAGGGTAAAAATAATTAGACTCAGCCTTGTTAAGTCTGTTCTCAGTTTATGGTCTTGGGGCCAGGCTACAAACTCTGATGAAAAATTACACTTGTTGAGATATTTCTCTTACCTGAGGGACTAATGAATCAGCATTTTTTAAAAACGTTTTAATTCAATTCAAAGAAAAGTTTTTATATAAGTGGCTGGTAACCTTTAATTGAAATCCCAGAGTTCCGTGTTACAGCTCTGGCATTTATGAGAAAGGGTTGCATGCTTATCTATAATACACTGTATATATACACTGCTGTACACTTTCAGTTGTCATAACTGGAAGAGTTCATCATTTGTCTGTTCTAGCCTACTACTGACTGAGGACTCAAGTTTGTGAGTTTTAATACGTAACACTGGTGATTCTGCCCTGATTTGGCCCCCATTGCATGATGAACTCCAGTGAGCGGCAGATGTATTGGTTTGTGGAGGATACATACGATGAGAGGCAGATGTATTGGCTTGTGGAGGATACATCAGTGGATTGTGGATGTCATCAGAAAAGCTAAATAAAAACAGAACAGTTATAACAGTTTTACATTTTTTTTTTTTTACAAACTATACAGAAATTTGTACTTAATTGAAATGCACCTTTTGTTGAAGTGTTAATATACTGACATACTTCTAAAGGACAGTCCATTCTGAAATGCAAGTTTTTGGCAAGATTTATTTATATTTCATGTGAAAAATGAGAATATATCCTAAATCATTGTCCTAAAACAAAAACAGTCTCTTTCTAAATATTTTCTTATGTGACATGTTTGATGTACAAGTCCTGACCTTATGCAACTAAAAACTGTTTGAATTTGTTTTCTTCTCTAGAAATGAATGTGTAAGTTTCACTTTTTTATTCAGATTCATGAAGTATGTACATGTAGATAACATTATACACTTGACTGGGTTCAAGGACAACATGCGTTTTGTCAGATCCAAGAACCAAACTTAGTTTGATTTGAGGGTCGACAAAATGCATTTTGCCCAAGAAGACAGTCAATGAATGTTTCTTATACCTTTTACTTTCTATTTTGATATTATCTTACACTGGTTTCCATGTTTGCAATAATTGATAAGATATAGCTGATCTTGCTTACAGTGTGACGTAAAAAACTTCATAGTGGTCCATATCTCATTTCACAGGCCCAATATCTCAATCACTAGCCCAATATCCATTTTTTGGACTGCTCAGTAAAACATTGGAAATGTTTGACTTTTTTAAGTATAGATTTATATAGGAAATATTTTTTAAAGGTATAACAATATCTTTTAATAATTGGTAATGATTTTGCTCAAATGTATGATTTCACATACATGTATAACTTGTAACAAATTTAAAATGAATTGTTAATGCTAAACAGGTTCTCTTTCCTGATAAATGAAGTTAACAGCAAGCCTACTTAACAGATTGGATGATAGTTTTATGTTTGTGGTTACTGAATTCACACAGAGCTGTTTCCAAATCTGTGTTCATTCTGTTATTTTTCTTATCAAAACTAGAACTGTCCAATAGGGACAAATACCCCCCGCTGGGTTTTTCAGAGAAAGTACCAAATCACTAATGTTTTCTAGATGTGAGAGGTGTTCACAATTTCCTTAAACATTTCCAGTGAAAATTTAATTACTTATTATATTTTTTATATGTCCGTCTTAAGACGGGACGTATTATGTTATAGCGTTCATGTCCCTCCGTCCGTCTGTTAGCTTTTTCATGTCCGGCTTATTATTTAGTCTTATTTTTTTCATTATGTTCTCTACAGCAATCTGTAACAAGAAAAATTCCACCTCTCCCATGGGTGTAATGATCAGGCACTGGTCAAGGAAAATTTTGATAGCAGAAAATTGCATGTCAAATTAGAGATAAATTAATGAGTTTAGTGTGAGGTGATAACTGGTAGAGCATCTCTGATCAAGCAGGTGTTATCTACATCTTTTGGGAAATGGGCAAAAGGAATCAGTCTCTTAATTAATTGCTTGTGTTGTATTGAATTGTTCTTGTTGGCTAGTCTTACTTTCAAGATAAATTTGATGTAATTAAAACTAATTTGATATTGTTTATAATAATTAAAACTTATATGATATTGTATAATATAATTTTAACTAATTATTTATTGTACATTTTTTATTTGAATTTTTATATCTTTACAACAAATTGCAGACTGCCTTGTCTCACTAAGATGTCATTCGACCAATTGAATCTAAACTGTTTATGATAATTTAACAATATTTGATGGGCGTATAATGCTGTGGTGGGGCACTTTATTTTAATGAATGAAACTAAGGTGCAGCCTAATAAAATATCAACACTAATAATTACAGTGTTTTTTATTACATTGAAAAAATAGTTTGCAACTATCTGTCATCTTTGTGAGACATGACACTCTGCAAATTGATTGTTGAAAAAAAAAATATCATAATTAATTATACAAAATCAAATTGATTTTAATACCTTTATATCAAACTCATTTTAAAAATAAAAGGCTGGTTTTAGTAACTATGCATTTTGACAGACATAAATAACAATTAAGAGACTTAGACAACAGAGATCTTTATTTCTTTCTGCCCAATTCCCCGGAGATATAAATAAGACCTGCCTGATCAGAGATGCCCTAACAGCTTCCCACACTGAACTCATTAATTAATCTTTAACTGGATGCATGTCCACTCATTACTCCCAAGGGACAAATGGATTTACACTATCTGCTGTGTAATGTAAAAACTGTTTTTAATACTTTGTGGGTTTTTTTTAAGTTCTAATGAGTAGTTTTAAGCTGTAGTTCACATTTTTGTACAGATGTTCTAGATTCTATGTCTCAAACCTTAGACATGAACCCGAAATGACTAAGTCAATAAAAATTAAAAAAAAACACCTGTAAAATGCAGAAAAATTATCAAATAATGTTGAAAATACCAGGTGGACATCTTCATATGGTAAATAATAAGTGTACAAATTTTCATACAAATCTATGCAATAGTTTCTGGGAACAGATCCAGACAAAACCACATAATAAAAATGAAAAAACACCTGTAAAATGCAGAAAAATTACCCAATCATAATGAAAATACCAGGTGCACACCTTCATATGACGAATAATAAGTGTACAAATTTTCAGACAAATCCTTCCAACAGTTTCCAAGAAATGGTCAGGACAAAATCTCGTCTACAGACAGACGGACAGACAGACGGACATGCTGATTCCAATATACCCCCCTAAACTTCGTTTGCGGGGGGTATAAAAAATTGAATTAGCTTAAAATTGTGGTTTCTGATCCCTTTAATATATTTCTTAAGTATTTCATTTTTTTCAATATTGACTTGTATTATTTCCACTTTATTAATACTGTAAAACTTGGTTATAGCAAAGTCCTGGGGACACGTAAATTTACTTCACTGTCTGTGAATTGTTATATATACCCATATAACAAATTTGTTAAAAGATAAATAGCGAATTAGCAATACAAATATTTCCCCCTTATGTATGACTGCCAAATATGTTCAGGAAAATTTTGAATTTATACATATTAAAAAATATACTTTGAGAACTAAAAATTTTACATAAAGTTAATTTCAAACATAAATACTTACAAAAATAATGTCAATTCAATACTTGATAAATTTGTGATCTTAACAATTTGTCACAAAAGATGTATATTGCATTCTTTTAAAAACTTCTACAGGTACAAATTTAATTCACTTTACCCATAAATTCATTATATTGGTGTTTGTTATAACCACAAAATTTTACAAGGATTCATAAAAAGTTTTGCCAAGGATCTCAAAATTCTTTGCTATATCCATAAATTCTCCATATACATGTTTTTACTTAACGAATTTCACTGTAATGCACTCTAAAAACAAGATGTGTTTGTAAAACACTGATGCCCCCATATGGCAGCTTAAGGGGAAGTTTAAAGTTTCTCAAATGCAAGTCAATCTCCAAGGTCAAAGTCAAGGGATGAAAAATGTTGTTACCCAAAGAAAGGACCTGTGTCAATGGATATATACCTAGTAAATATGACAGGCCAAGCACCAACTATTCAAAACTTATGGTCAAGGTTAGTATTTTCTAAAAGTGGGTCAAACTCCAAGGTCAAGGGATCAAAATTAATGGTACATAGGGGAAGAACTTGTCATAAGGAATACACATTCAAAATATTAAAGCCCTAGCCCATACTGTTCAAAAGTAATGCAAAAGTTAAATTTTTAAAAGTAGGTCAAACTCCAAGTTCAAGGTCAAAATTGTTGGTATCCAAAGGAATTGTCACAAGGAATATACCTGTGCAATTTGAAGGCTCTAGAGTTAATTTTTCACAAGTTATGGCCAAGGTTAATTTTTTTTTTTTAAAAAAGTGGGTTAAACTCTAAGATCATGGTCAAAAGGTAAAAAAAAATATTTACACCCATGGAAAGGTCTTGTCACGATGAATACATGACATATGAAAACCCTTGCACCAACTTTTTGAAAGTTATGGCCAAGGTAAAGTTGGGTAAATGTTTGCAAAAGTGGGTCAAACGCCAAGGTCAAGAGGTCATATAATGGTACCTAAAGGAAGGTTTTGGCACAAGGAATACACATGTAAAATATGAAGTCATACTGTTCAAAAAGTTAAGGCAAAGGTTAAATTTTTAAAAGTGGGTAAAACTCCAAGTTCAAGGTCAAAATTGTTGGTATCCAAAGGAAGATCTTGTCACAAGGAAAATACCTGTGAAATTTGAAGGCTCTAGTGCTAATTGTTCACAAGTTATGGCCAAGGTTATTTTTTTTAAAAAGTGGGTCACCTCTAAGGTCAAGGTCAAAAGGTAAAAAATATTTTTTATGGAAAGGTCTTGTTGTGATGAATATTGAAAAATGAAAGCCCTAGTACCAACTGTTCGAAAGTTATGGCCAAGGTAAAGTTAGGTAAATGTTTGCAAAAGTGGGTCAAACTCTAAGGTCAAGGTCAAGAGGTCAAATATAATGGTACCCAGAGAAGGTTTTGGCACAAGGAATACACACGTGAAATATGAAGCCATAGCTCCAACAAATCAAAAATTACTGTAAACCAACTATTATTCATGTCATCTTTTATTCACGATTTGTCAGATTGAAATTAATCTGCGACGATTAATTTTCTAAAAGAAAAAACATTCTCTTCAAATACAAAGAAAAATAAATGGTTTGTGGCGATTAATATTTACAAGTTAAAGTAGGTCGCAAAACTCACGGATATTTCTTGTACGTGAATAAAAGAAGGATTACAGTATGGGCAATGTTAAAGTTTTTGTGGACAAACAGATGAAGAGACAGACAGACGGACAGAAAGGGCAAAAACTATGTATCCCCGAATCTTCAATTACAGGGGTATAAAAAAGAAAAAGGGGGAGACCAAAAACAAAAAAAAATGTGTATAAATTATACACAAATGTATTCAGCAATATAAAGACATTTCAAACTTCAAGTAAATACTTTAAAAGTACAATTTGAATTGTTTAAATCTACCTCACATGGGTATGCTGATATATATATATAT